ACATATTCCTTTCTCACTCAGGGGGGGAATAAATATATATAATCGAACATTACTATAGTAAAAAAAAAAACAAAATCTGTACAATTAATCAATAGAATCACTGGAAAACTATAGAGTTTTCCAGCGACAGCGCTGGGATTTTCTATGAATTTTTTGACCTACGTGTCAATGATAAATATGTCGAGAAAAAGGAAAAGACTTTTAGATCATTAGATTGTGCATTCATTATACTATTGATTATAATATGTTCGATTTTACATTCCTGACATTTATTACAAAATGCGAGGAGCTACCGTATTGAGAACCCCTTTCCGGTTATCGACAAATTTATGCTCGGGCCCTATCATACCAACAGTTCCGTACGCTCCATCGTAGTCCATGCGCCACCGCTATGATTTTTGTTGTTGAACACTTTACATTGGCCCTGTTCATCTCCCCTATAATCTCTGCCATAAGCCTGAGCAATTTCCCCTATTATCTCTGGTCAAACCCCCCGATCCCGGCCACTACACCGGTCTCTAACCTCTTTAGGTAGAAGTACGAATGAAGCCCCCCCCTAATTAGGATTAGTACGGTTGGTTTCAGTAGAAACATGCTGGAACGCATTGAAATTAGTGAGTAATGCGGAAGAAGAGTATCGGGGAATCTTCAAATTTTTATTGAGATATTAATGAGTGTTTTTCGCAGGTGTTATTCCCAATGACTCGAAACATGAGGTTACAATACTCCAAATCACTAATTGCCTGGATAATCTGCATCGGGCAGCCTCGCATATTTTTCAGGGTATCGATGAACGAATTGCTGGGTATAGTAAGAGGTATGAGACTTTTTTATTTTAGCGTGGATAATTATTTTAGGAATGGAGTCAACGTAACAAGTTGATTTTTCAAGTGTTGCAAATTTTGGAATTATGTCGATCATAAGTGATGTTGAGAGAGAAATGTCAAAAGATTTCGTTCAAAAAAAAAAAAATTCTAAGAGAATTAGAATTTAGAGAGAAAAAATTTCCGCTTCACCCAGCCGGGAATCGAACCCGGGTCTCCCAGATACGCGCCGGGCACTCTTACCGACTAAGCTACCGGGAACCACAGAAATTCACTCTCAAATTCATCTCATACACTGCCGGGTAGCCAAAAAAAAAATTACAGGAGGTAATTGCTTTTTTTTTTTTTTCATTTATAAAGCAACAAAATACTGATGGAATGAACAGCTATTATATCGACTTATCTGGAATAACAGTCCCTCAATCAAAATTGATCATTCTGATTCAACTATGTACTTTTATTCACCTCTATCTTTTTTTTAAATCGGTTTTATTGAATTTTTGTTTGATCAATGGTAACAAATATTAAAAAGTTCATTACACCGAAAAAAAAAAAAAAAAACTAAGAGAATTAGAATTTAGAGAGAAAAAATTTCCGCTTCACCCAGCCGGGAATCGAACCCGGGTCTCCCAGATACGCGCCGGGCACTCTTACCGACTAAGCTACCGGGAACCACAGAAATTCACTCTCAAATTCACCTCAAACACCGCCTAACCTCCTTTAGGCATTGAAGAAAAATGAATTACTGAAAAATTTGATATGAATATTCATATTTACTGGTGCTTATCACATTTCTATCTGTAATTTGTGGCAACAAATAATAATGATATTTTTGTACTTTGTAGATTGTTAACCATACGAGTGAAAACTAATAAAATAGAGAGTCAACTCAATTACCTTCAAAATACAATGAGTATGAAGGCAGTAAAAATGTTCTCAGATGCAAAATACCCAGCTTACTCGACCTATCAAGAGTATCAAGTCATAGTCGACCCAAAAGCACTTCAGAGGAATCCAGAAGCTCGAGAGACATCGACTTCCTCAGATAAAAAAAGACCAAAACCCACAGATTCTGGCCAATCACTAACAACTGTGAATTATTACTCTCCAGAATTGAACTTGAAAGAAAAACTGCATTTTTATTATGTGATGGGAAAGTCGTTGCAGAAGAGACCTGAGGAATGTTTGCAGAAATTTAATATTGATAAAGTATCTTCAGTCAGTGCTCTGCTTATGAATGAATCGAGTTTGGAGGATCTAAAGCAGCCGGCGTCTTCCAAGGAGAGAGCTGAACAGATGCAGGATGCTCCTGACTCCATTGGACAGCCGTGGCGTTCATCGGATATTGAATCACCTTCTTATTTATATGCACCAATGTTGGGAGAGGTATGTTAATGCACATTTCTAACACAAAGTTATGGGAAGTCTACGAATTTTATAGGGATGATGTTACAAATGTCTCAGGCAGTGAACAGATAAACAAAATCTAGCTTCCAATAAAATTCTCTGGATTTCGGAACTTTGTCGTACTGAAATATAGCGAGCAAAAAATCATGGGAGTAAGTGAAGTTTTCGCGTGTGTTAAGAAATTTTTTCCATAAAAGACAGAAAAAAATTGTAATTCTTAGTAGTTTTTACTCGAATCTATTATAATAATATTTGAATCAAGCCACATTCTCTATTATTTTGAGGAAACCTTGACTCTAGAATTTAGAAATTTCAAATTCTTATGGGATAAAAAAATGCCGCTAATTTCCGAAATTTTTGAACCAACTTCCTCTCGAAAGTTGTGGATATTTTTACAAATAGAAGCACAATAATCTCCAAGAGATGACGATGAACCCCCTAAGACCTTAACTTAATTAATGTTGAATTAATGTTTAACTACTCGAGGACCTTATTTCTTTCAAATATTCTTAATTTAAAAATCCAATATTTCTTGATTTAAGAAACTCAACGTTCTTGATTTGAGAATTTAAGTAACTAGTTTTTTGTAATCAGTAATTTTGTTTTGAAAACTAGAAACTTTAGGTCTCTGTCTAGTACACTTAGATTATAATGATAAAGCATTTCTAGTGTGGGAGATGAAGGTTGCTACAAGAAGTTCCCTTGATAGATTTTCTGGACTTGTTCTTTTTAAGGATACCGATGATCCATGCAGCTATATAATTTTTAAATAATTTCAAAGTAGTAGTTTAAAAAAAAAATGTCGAGGAACGTTTTGTAAATTTGAGAAAACTGTTCGTGACCTATTTTTCGACATTGTACTGTGAAAGCCCTCACTTTCGTGTCATTTCTATCATTAGGAGAATAACGATAATTAGTCTGGCATGTATAACCATTTCGTGAAGAACTCTCATTGATAGGGTGACAATTATTCAAGAGCTTTGAAATTAATTCACATAAAAACAAATCTAACAGAATTTTTTGCGATATCGAGTTGCAATTCTTACATCGAACTATTCTTTGTAGGAGTTATTAATCATTGTCATCCTCACGTTACTTGTAGGTTCCTCAAATAAACGTTCCAGCAATTTTGCCAGACCTTCCAGGAATCGTCGATGATGAGAGATTCGTCCTAGATCTGACTTCGCAGTGTCCAATTACCCCATCATCCACTGTGACATCCCCCACTGTTAGAATTGATCTTCCAGATACAGCAATAATAACAGAGAGGCCAGAAAATAAGCAAAATGAGTTGCAACTCGATCCTCTGAACCTACCAAACATGGGAGACAGTGCACTTCAACAAGGTCCATCTCTCCCACCTCCACCCCCGCCGCCCCCTCCCCCTCAATTGCTACCAGAGACCTTCTCCACTGTTCCACCTGTTCCATCAACTCCTGCAGCTCCTCCGCCACCTCCTCCTCCAGCTCCAGAGGCACACCCACCTCCAGAACCAAAGATACCTGTAAAAACTCCAGCTGCAGTAGGAGGGGACGACAGAGGAAACCTTATGGCTTCGATTCGAGCTGCTGGTGGGGTTGGAAAGGCAAAATTGAGACAAACAAGGTCGATTATCGAACAAACTGAGGACAGATTTTCCTCTGCGTCTGTTGGTGGCGATCTAATGGCAGATCTTCATGCGAAATTGGCGATGAGGAGGAAAGCAATGACTGGAGGGGCCGTGGGAGCTCTCGAACGAATTTCTAGGCTGATTCCTCCTCCACCGAAGCCGAATGAAATTTCTGATAGAAATTCTGTTACGAGTGAATGTGATTCGCAGAATGATAATGATGATTGGGAGGAATAGTTTTTTGTGATTAAATCAGTGATGTTAAAAATATAGAGTCGTGGAATTGTAATGTTGGGCATAAATATTTTTCGTAATGTTTTTTGCTATGACTTTTCATTTCCTATTACATTTCCGAACAATGCCTGTGATAGATTCTAATAAGATAACGGATTATCTACGTGCTCTAGAATATACACATCTCCTAAGAATAAGGTACACAGTTGTTGCATTCGGCACAGAATTCTTGGTATGAAAAAATATAAAAAATTTTAAATTACACATTCATCCATTTCTTCACATTGCCCTCTCGCCAGCCCACACACAACCAGGTCAAAGTATGACGGTCAAAATATAAGGGTTAAAATGTAAGGTTCGAAATATTAGAGTCAAAAGACAAAGGTCGAAATATGAGAGTTAAAATGTGAGAATCAAAATATAAGGGTTAAAGTACAAGGGTCGAAATATGAGGGTCAAAATATAAGGGTTTAAATGTAAGGGTCAAAGTATGAGGGTCAAAATATAACGGTTGAAATATCAGGGTTAAAATGTAAGGGTTGAAATATAAGGGTCGAGATATGAGAGTTAAAATGTAAGGGTCAAAATATGGGGGTCAAAATATAAGGGTCAAAACACGAGGGTCGAAATATGAGGGTTAAAATGTAAAGGTGAAAGTGTGCAACTCCAAATATAAAAGAAGACCGGAAGGGTAAAAAAAGTGTGATCCTTCTGACCCCTGAAATATACATATATATATATAATCATTGTTATATATTATCATATATAGTATTAATTATAATATACATTCAAACAAGAATGAATATATTCAAATAATCTTCTTTAAAAAAATTGAAATATGGTATTTTTTGGCACCACCGGTCCTGCGGTCGGTAATTCATACGCCAACGGTCGGTCATGAAGATAGCCAACTGTAGACAGCCATGTTGAAATGGCTACATCGAATATTTCATTTTTTTATTACATTAAAAACTCATTCTCAATGCTATTGATGGTTTTGTTCGTGAAATAATACAATCCATCGTCATTTTTTCTATTTTTTTGCACGCGAATTATCTAATTATGCTTTTTTGGATGAAAATAAATTAGCCATGTAACAGCCAGGGAACAGCCATGTAATACCATGGCTGACCATGGCTCTTCAATCGCCAGGGATTATGTATATATTTCAATAATAAGTGATTTCAGGAGTAAATGTTGAGAAAACTCTCATGTTCCTGGCAAATATGTAATTCATTGAAATATTTTTTTGAATTACTGTGTTATCATATCGTATGAATTCATTCGAATGAAATTTTCAATTGTCACGAGTTTGAAAATTCAAGCTGCAAGGGAAATATCAGTGATCGCCTCATATTTTACAACAACGAGAGTTGCAATAACGTTGTAACGAAAATACCACAAATAAGTTGACAGTATTATAATTAATTAATTCATAATTCATAATTCATTCATAAGAATTGAATCTCTAATCAGTTTTAATCAAATACAGTTACTTTCCTACAATTTGTTTTATACACTTGTATAATTTAATTTTAAATATGACAAGTTGATAGTAGCTGATGATCGAAGTAGAATCAATCCACGATCTATCCTGATTTAATTTCCTATTCGACTTACTCGGCTCCATACCTGTAAAAAAAATAATTACCATTAGTAAATATTTCCTTGGACAGTATGAGATNTTAATGGATGAAAAAAGAGCAGTTCGACGGAGAATTAAATTCCCCACCAACTAACCCTCTTTCATCCCTTAATCTCTGTAAAAAATGGAAGAAACTGTCATTAAGGGATGAAAGAGGGTTAGTTGGTGGGGAATTTTATTCTCCGTCGAACTGCTCTTTCTTCATCCGNATACTTTCGTCTATTAAAAATTTAATTGTAGTAATGTTCAATTTCCATAACAAAAGGTAAATTTCATGAATGATCTGATGCCAGAAATGGAATCCAAATTCAAAAATATTCAAAAGTATTTCTTTTCCCAATGTCTGAATGCTGAAGATGACAAATTTTATAATAAATCAGTAAGAAACTCAAAATTAGCTGGTCTTCGCATTTTCAATTAATTTCCAATGAAAAACGTCATTTTATGTATGTGAAAATTGAGAACTAAAATCGTACATTGGANGTATTTTTTTGTTACAGAGATTAAGGGATGCAACGGGGATCGATTGATGGGGAATTTAATTCTCCGTCAAACTGNAAAAATATATTGTTAATTTTCGGTTAAAATTTGGCGTTATCGATCTCACCTCGATTTATTTATCGCATTGAAATTGAGTCCACTATTGGATTAAATTCATCCTCAGTCTTTCAAACAAACAGTAGATTCTGTCTCGTCGAACCTGTAAAATAAAATAGCATTTTCATTTTACATTTTACAATTAATTATAAAATAAAATTAATAAGGCATTTATCCCCGGAAAGAGTGAGCNTTTCATTTTACACTTTACAATTAATTATAAAATAAAATTAATGAGGCATTTATCCCCGGAAAGAGTGAGTTTAAGAGGAAGTTTGAGGGGAACTTTTTTGCAACTAAAAAAATGTCCAATTTGGAATTATTTTCGACATTTTCACTTATCATCACTCATTATCAAGATAATTTTACAATTGACAAATTACCTTTTTTTTCTGCTCCGAAATAGCGGTTCATTTTATATTTGTTTTTTTTTCCAATGTTTTTGTTTTTGCAAAATATAATTTGTTATTTTTTCCTTCATCGTCTCATCTTTTTTTAGATTCACTCGCAGTAAAAAAAAATGCAATTTTNATTACCGGGAGTCACTGTGCGCCGCGAAACAATTATTTTTCTTACTGGCCTCTGACTTTCACGGCAGTTTTTATTTTTTTGTTACAAAGATTAAGGGATGAAAGAGGGTTAATTAATGGAGAATTTAATTCTCCGTCGAATTGCTCTTTTTTCATCCGTTAATCTCAATTAGGAGGGGAGAGGTAAATTTTTAATTACCGGGAGCNTTTTCCTTCATCGTCTCATCTTTTTTTAGATTCACTCGCAGTAAAAAAAAATGCAATTTTCTCATTCACAGCAAACCAATTGTTTTCTTTTATTATTATCATTATTGAGGTTAACACCGATGTCGTCCAAATTGAGTATTGAAAATCCGCCCGATTCACTTGTTTCCTCCCCACTCTANGTACGCCGAGAAGAAAATTATGTTTCTCACTGGCCCATGACTTTGCCGTAGTTTGTATTTTTTTGTTACAGAGATTAAGGGATGCAACGGGGATCGATTGATGGGGAATTTAATTCTCCATCACACCGTCTGTGTTTCATTCCTTAATATTAATTAGCCAGCAAATGAATCACCTGAAAAACATTAAGAACATGTTGAGGACGAGGAGGGCATAAGTTCCCCTCCGAAACTATCTCTGTGACAGCGGGACTGCTAAAGTCCGTGCCACGAAAGAAGTAACATCGGCTTGAGTGGTGGGGGCCGTGATTGAAAGCTGAATTCAGGAGAGTGGGGGTACCCAGCGAGGTTCCTTCTTTCGTAGCGAGAACTTTACTGGCGAGTTACCCGCACAGGCAGTTCGCCCAGCCGTCAGATTCGACCGTGGCGCCATCCCTCCGTTGGGGTCGAACTATTTTTCGCTTGGAGTCACTCCAACCCCGAGATCCTGAGCCTCTACTGTAGTCAATCCTCTTTGCGTGCAACACTGCTTTCCGTAACTAATTTCAACTCGGTTACGAACTTTGATTGACGAGTGTATACAGTTGTCAAATTAAGTTCTGGGAGTAACTAGACGTTTTCTGGTAAGGTTGGGTTGCATGTGAGAATGGGATCGAAATGAACGACCCAACCCAACCTCTAGCAACAAACGTCTAGTTACTCCCAGAACTTATTTTGACGAGTGTACAGTTGTAGAAGTACGAACGGAGCCCCCTCTCCTAATTATCACAATTAAAACATGCAACAGCGCCTATGGAATGATAACAATATTGACAATAGTGACACTATTAGCTAGTATTTAATCACTCCCAAACAACTTCACTGCAACAAATCCTCACTAATCTGAAGTTAGCACTTCGCCTATTTTTCCTTCCAATCTCCAGTGCCCGATTCGGCCCTGAACCTCCTACCTCAACCAATACATTAACTCGATCTCCATCGCCAAGAGAAATGCTCCATTCGATTGGATGACTCATCAAAAATAATGTCTCCAAGAAAAAGCGATCGTAGAGCACTCTCTTGTGAATTGCAGTGGACAATGATTCTCTGAAAAAAAAGAACGCAATACCTTGTCTAAGTATGGCCCATTTTTTCGATGGTTAGGTCCTACGTGATGTTCGCCGCGAGTGCGAGGAAGCGCAATGAATCGATGCAACAGCGTTCCCCGCGCGATAATGTTGGCGACAAGTTGGTGAATATTCCATCGCAAAAAAGTGCAATTGTCGAATTAACAATATTCAATCATCCGATCATCTGGTACAGTGGAAGAAAGTAGTGGGTGTGTGAAGGAAAATTAAGTTTAATGTGTATCTTGAGATTGGAGTATAAACAAGAGTTTATAGGATACAAAGGAATACAAAGACATTTGGGGAAGTAGAGTGCGGGTGGGAGCAAGGTGTTTGAGGGTGAATTGGACTCCCAGAATTTGCTATGTCCGTTGAGGACAAGCAGCTGCCGTTACTTGACGCTGCTGGTTATTGTGAACACGATGCTCCAGGACTCGAGATCATCGAGAACAACAGGAGGCGGCAGTGCGGCTTCAGCCGGTGGAGAAAGGACTCTCACCAGGAGGATGACCGGGAACGGATGCGCCAGGAGGTAAATATTTCAATGTGTCGCGAAGGGGCGGGCTGGGGGGGGGGGGTGATGCGACAGTGTACCGAGTAAAGTAAAACTCAAAATTTCAGAAGTCTATGAATTGACCGAAATTTTCACTCATTTTAACAAAATTTTCCCTGACAATCAGACTAAAAAGATGGTATTCTTTTTCACTTAAATCTCGTATCACTATATTTAAATTAAATTACATTATCTCGTATTTCAAGGACACGTTCGTTTTGGAATTCAGAAATTTCGGGTCCTTGAAATAAAAACCCCGGGATTCTGGAATCAACATCCGGGATCTCACATTAACAACATTTACGTTTTTGAATTGATGAGTTTTCCTGGTTTCCTAAAATTGATCTACTCATATTTCTAAATTTTATAAAGACCTTCACTCAATTAATTTTCAATTATTTCAGAATTGTATTCCTTTCAAAGGTGGAAAAGGCAAATGTTCTCAATTTCTCTCTAAAACTCCATTGTTTTATGATATTACATTTTAGCCGTCTTTCTTCCGATATTAAGTAATCAGGGATTTTATTCGGGGATTAAAATCAGTGATTTTATTTTGAAAACTGAAAATTTTTTCTCTGTGGGCCTGCGTGAAGTCGGAGTTGTAGTGCTGGTGGTATTGGAGATTTCTCATGGCTTGTGTTGGAATTTTGGGGTCTAGATCAGAGCGGAATTACAATATTGGCCCGACGTCAGATCTAATTGTCAACGATTTTGACGATGAGAGGACACTGGATGAGGAGGAGGCGATGGAGGGAAGTGAGGATTCGCATAATGAACTTTCGAATCTTCAAAAGGTATGTAGAAGTTCTTGGTTTGAAATATTGAATGTTTAGGGAGCAGTCTTGCTTTTTTGCTTTCAAATTGGAATAGTGGGATCGTTCAATTTTCAAATTTTCTCATTTTGCATGATAATGATGTAGAATAGTATGAAACGTCAAAATGTAAGGTTTGGCGACCATGTGTGTATGTCCGGCTGTCAACACCCATTTTCGGAGGTCAGAACAATTGCCTTACATTATTAATGGCGCTTTATTGTATCATACCTGAAATGCATTTTTTTTCAAACAAAATCGAAATTTGGAAAAATTTTGAGCTTATGAAGCTGCAGAAACGAAATATTTATTCAAAATAAGTTAAAGATGTTTGAAACTCACAAAATTGCTTACGTCAAAATTAACTTCTACGGAGGCGAATTTCTCTAAACGCCGGGCTTCTGAGATCTTCCATAAATTAATCTGCAAACTCATTTTGAACTTATCTCCTTCGGCCGCCTCACTACTGAAATCTTTCTACTTTTTTTCACCTTTGTTGGTTAGGGGCCATGCTCAGATTGACTGTATCAAACACAAACAACTTAAAATAAAATTGGTTTTTCCAATAGAGGATAATACACTAATAATACCAAAAATTTTGGTTAAAATCTTCTGTACACTTCTTGGATATTTCTATCAAAAGACTTTTTCCCTAAAATGTCAAGATATTTGATGGGATAATCATTGAAAACTGTAAATTTCAGTTCAATCATATCATCAAAATCAATAGAAATCAAGAAAATTTATTAAATATTCCCATTCTCCACTCTCTCATGACTTTGATTTGAACAGATGCACGTCAAATCCGAAGCCCAAAAAGTTCGATGTCACGGATTTTCTACGTATATTAAGTTGACAGTGAAAATCAGCGAAATTAAGTTTTGAATATGGGATTATTTAAAGCTCATTAGAAGCTAATTTTCTACGTCTGAAACAATTTTCTTGCTAATGCCATTTTTGGAAAAAACCCTGTTTGTGCTAACTTTTTCGTAAGTTGGCAGAAAAAATGGACCAAAATTTTTTTTCAACCTTTGATAATTTAAAGCTCGTTAAGAGTTTTCTTTTTATGTTGGTGGAAAATTTCCTGCCAACGCGTTTAAAAAAAAAAAGGTGTCAAGCTAACTCCCCCGTAAGTCAACAAAAATACGGAGTGAAAATGAATGTAATTCTATTTGAGATAATGGACAATTTCAAGCTCATTAGAAGCTCACTTTCCATTACTTTCAAATTTTTATTATTGAAAATAATTTTGAAAAAAAAATTTTTTTCAATTGAAAAACAATTTTTTTTCGTTTTTTTAATGGAAGTACATATCAAAATTCTCGTAAGAAGTGTAGGGAGTATAGTCGGTAATGGGTTGTTTGAGCTCATTATCAATAATTGAACTCATTATCAATAATAATTTACAAAGTAATTCCCCAGCAGTTAACTCACCAGGTCTTTTATCTATTGTTTTAAGGAAATTAATTTTTTTTCTTGGTTCTGAAAGTTGTGCAATCTCAGGAATGATGAGAACAAGTTTGCTCAACCGTCATAATTATTAATCAAACTCATTATCAATACTCCTTTACAAAGTAATTCCCCAGCAGTTAACTCACCAGGTCATTTTTCTATTGTTTTAAGGAAATTAATTTTTTTTCTTGGTTCTGAAAGGTGTGCAAACTCAGGAATGATGAGAACAAGTTTGCTCACCCCTCATGAGCAGTAATTACGCTCATTATCATTAATACTGTGCAAAGTAACTGCCCAGTTGACTCACCAGGTCATTTTTCCATTGTTTTAAGGAAATTAATTTTTTTTTCTTGGTTCTGAAAGGTGTGCAAATTCAGGAATGATGAGAACAAGTTTGCTCACCCCTCATGAGCATTAATTAAACTCATTATCATTAATACTGTGCAAAGTAACTGCCCAGTTGACTCACCAGGTCATTTTTCCATTGTTTTAAGGAAAGTAATTTTTTTTTCTTGGTTCTAAAAGGTGTGAAAACTCAGGAATGATGAGAACAAGTTTGCTCAACCGTCATAGTTATTAATCAAACTCATTATCAATAATACTTTACAAAGTAATTCCCCAGGAGTTAACTCACCAGGTCATTTTTCCATTGTTTTAAGGAAATTAATTTTTTTTTCTTGGTTCTGAAAGGTGTGTATTTTATTCGTATTCCTGTAGAGGGCGCGTCATTCAAATGCCTCAAAATGAAAACGTTTGAAAAATCACTGGGGGATTACTTTGTCAAATATTACTGATAATAAGTTTGATTAATTTTCATAGGGGGTGAGCAAACTTGTTCTCATCATTCCGAAAATTACATACCTTTCAGAACCAAGAAAAAAAATTACGTTCCTTAAAATAATGGAAAAATGGTCTGGGACCCTATTCTCGATGTTGGTGAATTCTCCTTCGTGCACGAATCGGCGATCGTCAACGAATGTGCTATACAACTACTATACGCAGTTCGTCAACGAACGTCGATTCGTGGACGAAGGACTATTCACTAACGTCGAGAATATGGCCCCTGGTGAATTCACTGGGGAATGACTTTGTAGAGTATTATTGATAATGAGTTTAATTAACGTTCATGAGGGGTGAACAAACGTGAATATTTAAGTGAGCAATAAATATTAAATATTTATATGAGCAATATGGGATCTATCAACCACTTTTTTGGAAAGTAATCGGACGATAATGGCCACGTACCCTTGATCCTATTAATTTCCATTATTTTCTCAAACTCCAAACTCTATCTACCAGCCAATCGGAATTTAACGGGCAAAGACAGAAACATCATTAACGCCGATTCATTTTTTATCACCCAGTCGGAAATAATCGGACTGTTTTACCAGGGTGTTCTCATCATTCCTGAGTTTGCACACCTTTTAGAACCATGAAAAAAAAAATTACTTTCGTAAAAACAATGAAAAAATGACCTGATGAGTTAATTGCTGGGGAATTACTTTGTGAAGTATTATTGATAATGAGTTTAATTAACGTTCATGAGGGGTGAGCAAACTTGTTTTCATCATTCCTGAGTTTGCACACCTTTCGAAACCAAGAAAAAGAAATTACCCTATTCGAAACAATGGAGAAATACTCCGATGAGTTCACTGGGAGGCCACTTTTCAAAGTATTATTGATAACGAGTTTAATTAATATTTATGAGGGTTGAGCAAACTTGGTCTCATCATTCCTGAGTTTGCTCACCCTTCAGAACCAAGAAAAAAAAAACATTACCCTATTTTCCGCATGGCTGTGCTAGCTTGATAAAAACCTGGCACAGCCTTAAATAACAATAAAAAAAAGAAAAATTCGAAATTTTCGTAATTAATTCGCGAAAAACTTCTGCTGTCCATTTCCATCGACCAATTTCGAGTGTGATGCATTGGCTGTGCTAGCTTGTAATACCTTGAGAAAAGTTAACAACATAAGATTTTGTTCTAAAAAAGACATCGACGAGAAACTTTTTATCCGCGTATAAAATAAGCTCTTAATAAGCTTCAAATTACCCGTCCTTCAAAATGTAATTCTGTTAATATCATCTATTTTTACAGCCAATGTGCGAAAAAATCAAGCATAAACAGCTTTTTCTAAAAAAAAAAAAACTGCATTGGCCTGTACATTTTTCTGAGCATGAAAAATGAGCTCCTAATAAGCTTTGAACCTTTCACTCTTGAGGACCAAATTTTGTTCAGTTTCAAGTCATTTTTCTGCTAATTGCGGAGGAGGAAGCACCCACACGCTCCTTTATTTGCAAAAATAGCATTGATGAAAAAATCAACCAAATGGTATAAAATTAGCTCCTAATAAGCTCTAAATTATTCAATGTTGAAACTGAATTTCTATAGAATTTTCTCCCGCTGAGAAAAATTAACAACATAACATTTTCGTCAAAAAATGACATCAGCAGGAAACTTTTCATCAGCGTATAAAATAAGCTTTTAATCAGCTTCAAATTATTCATTCTTTAAAATCTAGTTCTGTTAATTTTTCAGCAATTTTGCAGCCAATGTACCAAAAAGGTGGTATAAACACTTACAAAAAATTGCATTGGCAGATAATTTTTTTCAAGCATAAAAAATAAGCTCGCAATGAACTTCAAATTATTCAAGATTGAAACACAATTTTTTGTCTTTTTCTAGCCCTTTTGCTAATATCAACATGTATTTTCATTTTCTGTCTGACCCTTATGATCATATTTTTCGCTTTCATCTTTGAGCCCTTCCAGCAGCTCGACTCTCATGAGCGTTCCAATCATATAATTATTATGGCTATATCTAGTATTCGGCCCTCATGACCTTAAGGTCACTCTGACCGCTTCCATCATCTCAAACTACCCATTACCAACTATATTTCCTACACTTCTTACGAGAATTTTGATACGTACTTCAGTAAAAAAACGAAAAAAAATTGTTTTTCAATCGAAAAAATTTTTTTTTTTCAAAATTATTTTCAATAATAAAAATTTAAAAATAATGCAAAGTGAGCTTCTAATAAGCTTGAAATGCTCCATTATCTTTAATGGAATTACATTCATTTTCACTCCTTATTTTTGTTGACTTGCGGGGGAGTTAGCTCGACACCTTTTAAAAAAAAAAAACGCGTTGGTAGGAAATTTTCCACCAGCACAGAAAGAAAGCGCTTAATGAGCTTTAAATTATCAAAGGTTGAAAAAAAATTTTGTTCCATTTTGGGGGCTTACGTAAAAGTTAGCACAAACAGGTTTTTTTCTCAAAAATGGCATTAGCAGGAAAATTGTTTCAGGCGTAGAAAATTAGCTTCTAATAAACTTGAAATAATCCCATATTCAAAACTTGATTTCGCGGAATTACACTGCCAACTTAATATACGTGGATTTCTTACCAATTTTGTTGTCAAAAGATGAGCATCAGATGAACATTTTGAAAAAAACGTATCAATTATTGCTCTTTTTAAAAATATTAATAATTACAGAAGTTTTTTGCTTCTGACTCGAAGTATTGAAATCG